ACAGGTGCCACATCCCACCCAACCTCGTAGAATCCTAATAGGCATGCAATAATGTAGTTGATAGTGCTTTACTTTTTACAATGGTCTGAGATAGGTTGCATGGTAGAATTGCTTAAAAGCCATTACTTTGACGCAACCTTTACCCCTACACACCCACTGTTAGGATAAATGACTTGTTTACTACTTGCTACTTGCTTCTACTACGCATTATATCTGTGATGTGATGCCTGGTGGAGGATTGTTTGTGAGTGGCTAAGGCACTTGGTGCCAATAATGTGGTAATAACTAGGGAGATCTTGGCGTGTGTCTTGGGTGTGTGGTGAGGGTCGAGTCGACCAAGCAGGATTCTATGATGAGTTGTTGAGCAAGTCTTGCAAAAGTGTGACCTAAGCGCTCCTTGAGATTTGTACCTGTGGTGTGTACTAGTTTGTTGTATAGATTCCGGGAGGAGAGTCTTCATGGGGCGAATCCGAGGAATAGAGGTGTTGTTGGAAGCACAGGGTGTTGGATCCCCTTACGAAGATGTCTTGTTTGGTCACCCTAAGGACTTAAACATCCTGGGAACCGGTTCATTGGAACCAACAACCACTTGCTCCATGGGATAAGGAGACGGTTACGGACTAATCTGGATGATGCCATTGCTGCTAGGTTGTAGCTGATAGTGTGGGAAGTGAGGGTGTTGGAACCCGATCCTTTCTAGGTGCGTATTACCCTTGAGGGGCCCAGTATTTACGTTTCACAGTCTCAACATGCCGGTAGACTTCGGGGTGCCTCAGGGTTGAGTGGCAGGATGGTATCGTTCCAGTTTGGAAAGTAAGCACAGATCAGCCTAGGCGGGGCACCGCCGATGATGGTGTATTTGGTGGATGTAAAACCTCTGTAGAGTTCTGGTTGATCGATCGATACATATGCCGCCTTTTCATGGCTATGGACCTTCCTATGTTACTACTTCACTTGACTAGAGAGAGGAGCCCCTTCTTTTCTTCCCCTGGGTGATTGTGTGGATCCGGCGTGAGCCGTTGAGGCAAGGCACAAGAGGGAGTTGTCTTTACCGACTAGAGAGCGAGAGTGTGGTGAGATGTGTGTGATGGGATGGGTGAATGTGTGTGGTGAGATGGATTAAAACTTGTGAATTACTTATAAAATATAGATTAACTACACATAGGAAGGCTACAACCACATTGGGTTCTTTTGCTCTACCCTTGCATTTTCACACACCACAAAGCTAAGCAAAAGCATAGGGTGGGAGCATAGGGTGGGAGCCAGTGGCCAGTACAAATCGTACTAAAAGATATTTAGCAGGTATTGAGTATGACGACCAACCCGATGGAGAGGAGGATTAGAGGCGTTCGTTCTACGCTCAAGTTTGAGAGAAGAAGACGCTTCCGCACCTTAGATATTTCACTCTGATGATGTTATGGATGTTGCGTGAACTCTGATGATTCTGCCAAGTGGTGATGTAATAAATGTTAAACCTCTCTATTTGTACTTCTAAGACAGGTATTCGATGTATGAACTTGTGATATCAGCTGTTGACTGATAATGTAATGGAATGATCGTCTGAGACTATCACGTTATAAATCGTATCTATGAATTTCCCTTCATGGAAATTGAGGATCGCTACAGTGCTTTTGCATTTGTCAGGCTCTGAGTGCCTGACAGATTCCAGAGCTGGCTTCTGGTCTTTGCTTGGGATGTTTGTTGGCCCCGAGCCATGGTTGGGAACTTGGGATGGCCGCCTGGGCTGAGGCTTAGTTGGGTTCCCCTTTGTTTGAGAATCCTCGCATTCTGACCGAGCCCTCGAGCTCGACCGCTGGCGGCTCTCACCTTCTCAGGCTTGCCCCTCTGATATCGAAGACCTCTTGGGGGAGGGCCATCTGTGGGCTGTCGAGCCATCCCTTTCTGCCAGATGGTGCGCACGAGCGCACCCGATGGGTGAAGCCCCCAAGCCCCGGCTGATTCGAAGAGTCGAACGGGGGTTAGTCGGACTATCGCTTTAATCCGGGGACTTAACGTACTGCCAAGTTAGACTCCCATCAATCGGCAAGATCACTTAAACGCCAACGAATCTCATCAAGAGGGGCGTTGGAGAGCAAGGGATTGGAGAAGCTAAAGGTAAGAGAGTAGTAGTAGATTAATTTTTTTTGATTGATTGTGTGTGGTTGACCTCGAACAATCATGATCCTCCGATATATATAGAAAAGGTGGTCTATGCCAATAGAAAACCTTAACAAAAACATAATTTACAAGTTTCGCACGAGATCGAAGAAATTTGCATCAAATTTGGTTGAATCGGACTCAGACAGACAAAACTAGCGCGCGCTGATTTACAAAACTACCTGGGCCGGTTTGTACAGCCTAGAAAACCAGCTTTTTCCATCCCCATTCCATTGTCTAAAGAAATCGGTTCTCCGAAACAACAGGCTCAGTTTTTACTAGAAGTTGCTCAATTTGTCTATGATCATTTTTTATCACGACTAATTTCCAAACTCCAATTTTACTCATTTGATCTCTATTTGCTGTGAACAAAGATGATCTGCTTCATGTGTTTGCTTTAGCATTATGTGATATCATAGTCCCATCTTAGCCTAACGTGTGGTCCCCACCTATTAGTCTAGGTTCTTTCTCCTGCTACAAGTCAATCATGTTGCATCACTACTCGCTTTGACCTTGTGTGCCGCAAGCCCGCAACCCTCTTCTCTCCCCTCCACCCATGTCCCTTTTCCCTCCACCAACGTGCCATTAAGCTGAGTCTGTTCGCTCGTTCTAGGTAAGAGTTGACCTATTTTTCTATAGAATAAATTCATCGAGAAAAAATATTTTTTAGGTTGAAAATTATGAGACTATCATTTGTCCTCCAACCAAAACACCTTAAAAATGAGATCAACATATTCCTTAGTATGAAGACTATTGGGCTTGATTGGTTTGAAGCCAAAATTTGTCATGCCAAAGATTTGGCAAGCCAAAGTTAGTTAAAAAAATTTACCATGGATTTGGTAAGCCAAATGTAAAAGGTTAGCAAGTTTTGATAGCAAACCAATCAATAATCAAAATCATAGCTTGCCAAATCTAATGGTTGGTATATTTTAGAAGCCAACCAATCAGACCCATTGCTACACACACACATGCAAGTCAGATTATCCGCGAACCTACAATAGACTCGATTTCAATTTTATGGGTTACCTACATAACCTATAAAAATTAAACATATTTACGGATTCATGAACAACCCGTCTTGCATCTCTAGCTCCATGTAATAATCTATACCTAATATGGCCCTAAGAAACTACGTGAATGTGCAACATATCCTCTCTCTCTCTCCTCTATATATATATATATATATATCAAATACCTCCGCCCTTCACACCAATCACAACTGGGATCGTCATCTCCAGAGTTCGCGTCCGAAACCAATTCCAAACGAGAGTCGAAACCAATTCCAAAAGAGGAAAGCACATGAACATGTTTTCGTCTGTACCATCCCAATCCGAAATCAAATATATTTCCTCAGGTCTCCCAAGTCTATACAAGGGTTTTCCAAATCGGCAAGCCCAAATCGGGAAAAAAAAAGGAAAAAGACCTACTCTTCTTTTGTTTTTTTTTCTGACATCCGCAGTCCTGCTGTACGAGTGCACGTTTATGTTTTTTTTGTTTCGATTTTCCGTGTCCTCCGCCGTCTACACTTCGATTTTTTTTCTTTTTTTTCCTAGGTTGTTTCTGTTTTGTTCTCAGTTTTTTTTCGTGCCCATGACATTTCCGTGTTTTTTTTATTCCGCTTTGGTTTTTGTGTATTAGATTTTTTATAACTTGTTTTTTTTTGCCCTTTTCTTTTGGGCCGGTGGCTTTTTCATTTCCTTATAAACATAAAAAAATATTATAAATATGTTAATGTGGGACTTTGAGCTATTTAGAAATAAAGACTTTTACCATCAAATTTGTCGATATAGTTTTGATTAAAAACAAAATTTATTATTATTAAAATCAACCAAAGGTCAAACTAATCAAACCAAGAATTAAAATCTTATAAGTGGTTTGTTGACTAATCCGGTCAAAATAAATCTATCTCTATAATCCCCAACGAAATTTGCTATGTAAAAAAGTGAGAGATCTCTCGTCACAGTCATTGGCGAACGAACCAATTCTTGACACCTCAGCAGCTAACTTCTTGCACCTCCGGTCATGCATCCGAGTGTGGGCGGCCCAGGGAAGCGGATGAAGATAGTCCCTGGTCACAGAGGCATTCAGGGCGTTCAGGGAGTAGTTGAAGCCAAAGCATCTTAAGGCCCCGTTCGCTTGGGCTGAAAAAACAAGGCAAAACTGAATGGTTGTGAGAGAAAAATCACTGTTTCGGTTGAAAAAAGAACCGAACAAGCCGGCTCTTAAGGTAAGCCGAACGGGGTAAGTCCAAAATAACCCCAAATGCTATAAATACTAAGCAAACGCGACCGTTGAGGGAGAGATGTTATTCTCCAAAATTTATTGTGCCCTGCATTCTATGTCGTCCTCATTTTTCCCTTCCTATGGAAAACCCTCAGCCCCTACCTCGCCAATTTTGCACAAAGGTATAGGGCAGAGTGAGACCATATAAATAGATGTCTTATTTATGCCGTTTGCCATTAACATTCAATAGCTTTTTTTTTTCCATTTTAATGCACGGACAAATTTGCTAGTAATAATAATAATTAGGTGATCCAGAAATTCAAGAAATCAGCACAACGTGGCATTCAAATTAATTATGTCGGCAACCTACACTACACGGATAATAGGCATGGGTGAAACGCTTGCACTTAGGAGAATGACCATGCAATCCCAGGGCAACTCGGGATAGTAAGCTAGTTTTGCTCGGCTCTTTTGTAACCAACCAGTCTCATCTCAATTTATTAGTAAACAAAACTGAGTAACTAACTATTATACCATCTATAAATAGAGGGGATATGTTCAAATTAAAAAACAGATGGTGTTAAGCTCTATGTTTTTTCTCAACATAACACAGTATAGAATCACTCATCGCTGCCTGAATCTATATCAGATTCAGCCCCTTGATGGGCCGATCCGTTCACGACCTTCACCTTCCCTTTCCCCTTGTTCTTCTCATCCTCCTCGTCATCACTGTACTCGCTCTCATAGTCATCATACTCCTCTTCCTCTTCCTCCTCTTCCTCCTCAATACCATCCTCTGCAGCTGCCGCTGGCCCTTCTTCAGGCACATGGCCTCTTGTTCCAGCACGGTTGCGCTTCAGTACCTTGAGCTTGAAGCTGGTCTTGGTGTCACAGCCTATCCAAGAGTCGCACAAACAAAAAGAGGTGAGGTTGTGAGTACCCTCTGCTGGGGCTTGGAACTTGCCCATTACCAGCCTACTGCCTCTCTTCACCCTGTCAACTGCCTCCTTAACTGCATTTCCTATTTCCTTTGCACTTGCACCTAGTGCTTCCTGGGTCTCTTGTATAGTTTTTGATGCTGCAGTTATGGCAGTGGCCTCATCCATGAAGCTGACTTTCTGTGACAACCAGACATCATTAGATGCCACATCGGCCAGAAGCAGCCAGAAGTTTTCTTCCTTGTGGAACGGGAAGTTGGGACAATGGGGAAGAGCAGCAGTCAGTCCATTACGCCGTTGTAGCGAGACCCAAGCATACATTGTCACGACATCACCCTCTTGAATGCCCTCTTCACCTTCAGTCTCGCATTTAATGTCTACTTCAATAGAAGGAATCATCTCCAGGACAAGCTCCACATCCCGAGCTTGTTCTTCAGAAAGCCCAGCAACTTGTGTGAGCAATGCAGCACGATCCTCCACAGACATGTCACAAAGTTCTTGGAAGGCACGGATTTTCTGTAGTCAAACACAGAATAACGTTATTACAGTCCAGAGTTAAAAAGGATGCTTTAAAGATATGTCATCAATTTTTAAATTGCTTTGATTAATCTACTTTCTGCAAAAAGAATTTCAAAAGGCATTGAGGAAATACCTTGCGAGCAATCTTTTTCACAGTTGCTTCTGTGAAATGCGGCAACTGCAAGAAAGGCGCTATTCCTTCCGAGTTACCTCCACTAGCTTTTCGTGCACTTAGTGGTACAGTCTGCACATGTGTCATCCCAATACAACATTGCAAATAATGGTGAGGAATGACCTTGCATACTGGATGCAAATGCAATGACACAGGCTTAAAAGAAACAGGATCACATGAATTTATAAATGTTAAAAACAGTTACTCTTCTAGGCAGTTACTAACAAAAATTAACCCTAGATGTTTCAAACCACTAACAGAATTTTTGTAACAAAGCAGTACCTTTTCTAACTAAGCTCATAATAAGACAAATAAAGGGAGGCGTCCAAAAAAACTGACTGACCAACTTAAAGGAGCAGTTAATTAAAACTAAGATTTGAAAATCAGTAAAATACCACTGGAGAAGAATTATAATTAGCACATACTTTTCATCTTCCCACATACTTTTCTTGGCAAAACCAAAATCCTGTTTTCCAAAAGTTTTCATCATCTAGCGGGAGAGCAGTTAACTTAAAGGTTACAATATTATTGCTTCATTCCCAGGTCCCACATACTTTTCTTGGCAAAGACAACACCTGGCCTAAGCAAGTAACAGTACGAAAGACAAAGGAAAACAATAGGCACCACTAATACTGACTGGACAGGGAACTCTCTTTTGACAATAATATGCTAGCCAGTTAAGTAAATAGTGGAATATTTCACCTGTAGAATGTTGATAACATTCACACCAAAACTCCAAAAGACTAACACTACCTTATTTCTGTTACATTGCACTCCCATCCTTGCAGCAGGAGTTGCTGCAATAAGTGGAAATGTGAACCAAACCATATTTTTCATTCTCCCTCCGTCCACAAGTCTAAGGTCATCTAACCAAAATCCTGTTTTCCAAAAGTTTTCATCGTCTAGCCTTCTCTCCCCCTTTTGCTTGGATTGCAACGACCGTGACCCCTCGGCCCTCGCATGGCATGCAATTGAATGCATGGTAGCTCTACCATTAGCCTAATATACATACTCCATCAGCTTTTCCATTGAATGAGCCTCAACGCCACTTAGCTCCACAGCGCCATCACACTGCTCCGTTTTTGCATGGCATTAGCATGTGAAAACTGAACAGACACCAATGCATTTAAAATGCCACGGAGACTAAATGAAAATTAGTGATCTTAAGCTCTCCTTGGTTACAGTGCGTGAGACTTATACAAGTTAAGACTTTTGGACGGAGGGAGTATAATTGATACTACCTCCATCCCCCAAGACTGTCACTCACTTTTCGAGGAGTCAATGAGTCTCAAGTTTGACAAAATATATACAAAAAAAAAAAATATTTATAAGTTGCAACAAGTATCATTAGATGGATTATGGAATATATTTTCATAATAAATCTATATGGAGATGTAAATGTCCATAATATTTTCTATAAATCCAGTAAAACTTTAAAAAGTTTGACTTAGTCCAAACCTAGAATGACACTCTTTTAAGGACAGAGATAGTACTACTTTAATATGTTTTACACTTGCTAATAAAATATATATATTCAATAAATAATCAGGACCGCATAATACCATAAGATCTAGTTTACAATCCCGCTAAAAGTGTAAAATTTTGAACAAATGGCAGTAGCTAGTATTCCATGAACAGTTTTGACAAAATCATAGGATAAGCTAATCAGCAGCTGATTGTCCACAAGAAATGACAACTGAAAAAGTAAACATACGCCTGAATGATCCAACTCACTTAAGCCACATAAGGGCTTGTTTGGCTGCATTGCAATGCAATCCACCCCAATCCAAATGGGTTAGGAGGGCACCTCAGTCCCTTCCAACCCATGTGGATCAGGGTGGATTGGAGTGCAGCCAAACAAGGCTTAAAAAATTTCATCTATTTTGTAGTCCATCATAGTACATCAACATGAAATGGTTCACCAGTTGTCTTACAAAAAATCAGGTTGTAGACAGAAGTACCTGGACAATATTTTGAGAAAGCTCAATAACACCAATTGCAGGCCGGAGCCATCCAAAACCATGGGGATTCCTTGGTAGAACTGCAATCTGCAAGCCAATGAGTATTTCAATGTATGCATGAAACGTTTTTTTTTGGGTGGGGGGAGTGAGGGGGGGGGAGGGAGGGGGGGAGGATCAGTGAGCTAGTCAAAGCATAAAGTGAAAGGGTTACAACATAATGTGGCCTCTATTCAAAGTACAATAGACCTTTTTAACTATCAAAGCTTGAAATAGGAGTACGAATGGTTTGGCAAACACATACAATGTGCACGAGATCTAATATTCCTAGCTTGTGCCAGATTAACCCTGGTCCAGGCAAGAGAGGATGGCATTTTTTTCTTTATCGGAAAAATCACATCACCAGCCTGAACCGTGACTAGGGGTTCATGTTGGGTTTCAACTCTAGCCTACCCCAACTTGCTTGGGACTAAAAGGCTTTGTTGTTGTTGTTGTTGTTGTTGTGGAAAAATCACATCACCAGACCAGAAACATTAATCTGTTTACATATCTTCTATCTTCTATCTTCTATATCTAAATATGAGACACCCACTACCTGATTTTCATGGCATCTCATGCAGACACATCATCGCTAATGATCCACTATTCGATCCTAATTTTTATGATCTATCATCTATCCGGCCCTTTCACATCGACACACACACACATCAGGCTCACCCGTCCCTGTTTCATGCCCTAGACCCATCAATTTGCATCCCTGAAACCCTGTGTTTCCCCTCCACACCGCCTGCTTGCTTTCCTTTCCGGCCTCCCCAATCTGTCGATCTGTCTCCTCTCCAAAGCAGAAGACCGATGCCTTGTTAATAAGATGCCAGCACCCAGCACCAGACATCCTGATCCCAATCAACTGCACCCATTGTCCTCCTTTTTCCCTTTTGCTGGGGTTAGATTGTCATTCACCAGAGATCATTATGGAGAGGAGCCTAACTTGCTTGGACAAGCTTTCTATCCTTGAAGTTCTTCTGCCTACATCAGGGAAGGTGCGGAGGTGTGGGTGTGTGTTTGGGTCTATGTATGACTCATTTTCTTCTACTAATACAATGATACGCAGCTCTCCTGCGTGTTTGAGAAAAAAATTACGCCTGTTGATTGCAACAGGAACATAATTCAGTTTTCATTCCTTCCACTTGTAAATAAGACCAAATCAATCTGTGACTCTGTTGACTTAGTATGCATGATGTTATATTCAACCAATCAGGCACCGTTCAGTTTCATCTAATAATATAATCACCAACTCGATTTTTTCATTTACTGATTTATTTGTAGAGACGATAAATCAATTGAAAATTGATGCACCCTTTCCATACAACTCAGAAACAACGCTCCTGTTCTGTAGTCACATTCTCTACATGTGCCCATGTCTTAGTTTTGTAACTACCACTACTTTTGTGGCATTAATTCTTTTGGATGTTTCTATGAACACCAAACAATAGGCATGGAAAGCTCTTCAGTGACACAAATTTATAGACTGTTTCAGTCATCTGTTTAGATGTATGCAAATCAGGTGACCATACTTCAGTTTGATAAGAAACCTAAATTGTTATTTTTGTATTATTTTCCAGGCAGATCATGATACTACTACACAGAACATGCAGGTTCATAGTTCATTTACTTGCTTTTATGGATGCCCCATGCTTAACTTTTATGAAAGAATGACCTTTAATTGCAAATTGCTTATATTAATTCCAAGTAAATATGTTATCAATCCAACTTATATAAACAAGTTAAAATATAGGAAAATCAAAAAAAAAATGTCTACAACTGGTGGTCTGAGTTTGTTATGAAATTTTAACAGAAAGGATAAATACAAAATATCATAAATGGTGAAGTGTGCTAAAATACTATAAAGGACAGAAATCTAATGAGCAAGACATTCAAACAAGTACCTTAACGAGTTCTTCCAGAAGACGAGGTGCAAGTTCAAGCATGTGTCTGTAATCTTTAAGAAGTGCTGGGGTCAAAGCAAATGACTCACATGTGAGATGCGCCTGAATCAGCAGTTCCATCTGCAATAAAATAAAGAGGTATAAGATTGTAGAACTTTTCAGATTGTGGAGATCAGTTTATATAGTGTATCATAGAATCTAGTCAGAAAAGACCAACCTTTACTAGTGATGGATGCTGCTTCCAGAACTTTGCTTGTTCTGTCTTAATGTTCTTTAAGTCCAGATTTAACTCACTTCTAACAGCTACAAACAATTTTTGCAGGGGTTCATCATCACTGCGTCGAACTGGCATCTCCATATATTCTGCAGCCTTGATGAAGACATCCATAACTTTGCTGTGACATGGAAACAACCCATGGCTCAGACAAGGGAAAAAGAAACATGATTTTGAAGGCTAGCAAGTTAATTAAGACCCAAAATAGAAGTTTCCTGGAAGCTACTAACAAGCATGGACTTATGTCATCCATAAGTTTGCTATGACATGGCACGAAACCTTTGCTCATATAAGAGAAAAATAAACAAGACCTCTAAGAGCAACTCCAAGAGTTCATGTAAAAAAGAGATGCCAAATTACATGATTTAGCCATTATCTAAAATAGAAAATCCACCTAAAAGTAGAGTAACACAACAGCCTAGCTAAATTTTTCCATATCCATATTTGAAACTGTAACGTCATCAATCAAACCCCGATCACTAGGTGTTCTGGTTCGCCCTCCGGCCCTTCAACCTTTCGTCTTTCCCCTAGCTAGTACCTACTAGTAGCCTAGTACTCTATTAAAAGAACAACATTGCTGCTAGTCTACTACTGCTGGAGCTGTGCAGTGTCGTCTTTCCCCTAGCTAGTACCAGCAGCATGCGAGTTTGCTACTACGAGGAAGAACAGCAACAGAAAGAAAGAACAAATGAAAGCAAATAATGCATGCATGCAAGCTAGTCTCCTACTACTAGAGGTGTTCCTTTCACCCAGCCCCAGAGTTCAGCGGCCAGCACAGAGCCTGTGGTGCAGGTGCGGCTGATGACGAGAGGCTCTTGAGCTGTGCCTGTTCCCACCGTCGCTCGCGCGCCGATATGGCCGCCTCCCGCTGCAGCTCGGCCGGTGTGGGGCACTGGGGCGGCACAGGGACAGGGAGGGCGATGGAACGCAGCTATGTAGATTTCTGTATTTGTGATTACGTTGATGAGCAGCAGCCCAGGTCGCCACCGCACTCCGATGGCGTGTGCTGCGATGATGGCGACACCCCGACCCCGCGGGCGCCGGCGCCTGGAGGGAAGCAGCGCTGGTGGGCGCGACGCTGTGCACCAATTGACTCCTCGTCCAGCTCCAGCACCACATGACGGGGCGCAGAGCTATCATCCTCTCCAAAGGCACGACGGTGGTTGGAAACAGGAAGGGTCAAAGCTAGACAAGAGGAAAGCAGTCTACCGGCAGGAGAATAATGCCGCGCGAAGCTCTCTCTGGTGGAAAGGACTCCCCGTGCCCAGGAAATCGCACGGGAGGGGCGATGGCGAGCCTCGTAGGTTGGCTTTCTTTACCTAGCGGAATTCATGGGATAGCCGGTTGGGTATTTTAGAAAGGCAGATACAATATCTATTGGGACCTATTTTATGCCACAAATTGTCTAAATTAGATTCAAAACCAAAAATAGCATCTCTCTTGGAGTTGCTCTAAGGCTAGCAAGTATAGAGAACCCAAAATAGAAGTATGTTTTGGAAACTCGAAGAAAGCATGAACTAATTTAATCCACCAGATATATAAGCTAGTTAAAATATATACTAGCCCCTGGGGTGTGGTCAGCAGCAATAAAAAAAAATGTTAAGAAAAAGTGCATTATCATTTCTACCATTATACGGTTTTGGAAAAGGAGATTCTTGATGTTGTCATTCAAGACTTAGCAATGATTTCATCAGGCACTGTGGTTTTGCATGTGCATAGCATCTTATTTTTTTATCAACTCATCAATGCTTAAAGGTAAAATTCGAGTTGTGCAAATATATTTACCCAATAGAAGTTTTAAAAAAAATCTACTGCTAGAACATTCAAGAAAAGAAGTCTTAAACAGCAATAAGTCAATAACAAATCACATTTTCACTTTCAATATTAACAAAAATCCTCTGTTGCTCATGGCATTACAGGACTCATGTCAGTCTAACATCAAAAATTCAAAAAACAGATACAAAGCACTTTCACTTTAAACAAGATGTGCGGGAAACACAAATATTAAACACCAAAGGTGACAATGTTAAATGACGTGTTCACAAGTTCATACCTTGGAGCAAGAGATGGCTTCATAAAGTAGTAGTAAGTGGACAGAGTTTGATGCATGACATAGTTTCCGGTATACTTTGACGATCTTGACAAATAAATAACAGCTATCATCAAAGGCAATAATATACAAAATCCGACAATTCCAAGAAGCATTATCCCACCAGATGCACCATCAATGTTTAGTAAGAACTTGGGCAAAGCAATGCCCATTTGCATCCCCTGAATCATAAACAAGATGTATAGCCCGTTAGCTTTAGTTGTTCTTGCAAAATTTAGCTTTCATTGAGACATTAGGATCTAATGATGGTAATATTACCTGCCGCCCATCAGGGTGACCATATTTCTCATAATTCTCGCGAGATATAGGATCAGTTAATGCTTGATATGCCTTGGATATATATTCAACGAAGTACTTATGAGCCTCTGGGTAGGTGTGGGAGAGAAAGCATAAGAAGAGTTCACCAGGTAAGATATTTATTTTTCTTCATTGAGCAGCATTATTATAGTGTTACAAAGGAGGTACCTGGATCAGGATTTTTATCAGGATGGTACTGAATAGAAAGCCTCCTATATGATTTCTTGATATCAGATTCAGATGCCCCAGCTTCCAGTCCAAGAATACTGAAAGGCTCAAAAACTTGGACCTAAGAGAATTCAAAGCAAAGTCACATGCTTATAGACTTGAATGTATAATATCTTCATTTCACTGAATGGTTACATAATATCAATATAAAGATGGTAACATAATGGGCCTGTTCGATATAAAGAGACAGGGACATGTGAAACCCTGAAGTTGCAAAAATCTATACTAGGAAACACATAACTCTATCTGGCATCAGGTAAAAATCACAGACTATTGTTTTGACACATCACATACAAATGACAGCCAAATGAGTTTCCACCAGTGAGAAAAAAAAGGCAGACGCAAACAGTGGAAAGTATAAGCAGTTAAGCACTAGGACAACGCACTTCCAACTGCTGATTTAACAAAAAACCAGTTCGACGAAGCAGATTTGAGTTACGTCAACTTGATACGTATACATGTATCGCAGAAAGAATTGCTCTATCTGAAAGCATCAAATTCTAAAGTAGCTCAAAGTTCACATACCTCACGGCTAACATGCTTTATGTAGTAAACCAGGAATATCATAACAATCCAGAGCAGAAGGATGGTTAGGTTACTGCACGTGGAGAAGTTGGATATCTGCGAAATAAGGGAAGCAGAACTTATTAGTCAGAAAAGCAAACCCCGCTGTACCCCGAAACAGAAACCAAAAATAGCGAACACAAGAAGTTTAAGGAAAACGAAGAACAAGAACGCCGTCCGCACCCTCTTGTAGATCGACTTGCGGTACTTGCCGGAGCGGTGGCAACCCGAGCAGCGGCAGTGGATGGTCTTGGCCTTCTCGGAAGCAGCGCGACACAGACGCAGGATCGTGTAGGGCACGAGGGGCAGTGCGATCATGGTGAGGATGAAAATCAGGAACAGCGAGCTATTCTCCTCTGCGGCCGCCATGGCTGCTGCGACCTACCTCCGCTCTCCCCACGAATCGTCTGCGATGACGCAGGATTTTGCGGAGGCAGAGCCGGATCTGGCAGCGGGGCGAAGGGAGGCGGTATGGGGCCGGTGGATCTGAGGGGTCGCCGGCTCGCGGGGAGACGAAATCAGGGAGGCGCACCGGGTGTGGGCAGGATTTGGGAGCGAGGGGGCGAGGGGCGAGCTCCGGCCTCGGGGCTCCGGGCTCCGGGCGAGGGGCGAGGGCGAGGGCGAGACTGGCGGTGACGGCTGCGGCTGCCGAACTGCCGGGTGCGCCGTGCGTGCTCGTGCTGGGGGACCCTAACAACGTGAAGTACTGGGCTGGGGCCAACTAAGTGGGCTGGACGTGGAGTTGTGGACCGCCTGGTTGCTGGCGCGGCACTGGGACGCTGGCGCTGGGAGCCTGGGGCAATTAGGCTCTCTTTGGAATACCGGAATGTTTTTTTCCGGTTCCTATATTTTTTTAAAAAAAAAATGGACTGAATCCTATAAAATTCATACGGAATTCTTATGAAATTCGTAGGTTTCAAAGGGGTCTTAAGTGGGCTGGGCATGGAGTCGTGGACCGCCTGATTGCTGGAGCGGCACTTGGCCGCTGGTGCTGGGAGCCTGGGAACACACCAAATATGGTATTCTACCGTGGGAAGGTCCCGATGGCATCGTGCTTTCCTGAGTTTTCTAAGTACGTAGTTAGGCTTTCTTTCAATGTAAATTTATATGTGTCTTATTATTCACCATCAACGCAAATTGGATTCCTTTCGATCTAACTACTGGCATTGTGCTTTTCTCATTTTTTTTGAAGTGCGCAGTTTGGCTTTGTTTCAATGTACATGTTAAACGTTAAATCTGTGTGCCTTGTTATTCATCACCGTATCATACGACAGTCTCCCGGGTGGTAATAGGACCCAACCGCCGGTGATGGTATCGTGCATTCACCGCCGCCTAGTTGCAAAATTTTTAATCCTGCGTTTGATCCCTCCCGTGTGGAACTGATGAAATTTCGATTCCCATATGTCGTAAAAGTTACGCTTAACAAAGCTTATCAACCTGCAATGCTTAACAAAACTGGTGAAATTTCGATTCCCGCGTGAAACTGAAAATTGACGTTAGTTTTGTGCCATCTAATCAAATTTGCTATAAAACTTATCATCCTGCAGTGCTTAACAAAGCTATTAATAGACCACACCACATCATCAGCCTGTTCCCGTTCGTTTTGTGTGGCTTATTAAATAACGATTAAAATAGATTATTTTCTCTCACACCACAGACATTTCTTCACGAACCGAATTTAAATGAAAGCACCACCGAACAGTTGATATTTGCCTTGAATCCATCCAAGTTTACTTACCCTGCAGTCAAGAGTAACATTCATTTGACTCTCTATCCCAAACAATAGGATAAAATGTTCATAAAAACAACTGATTCATTCATCTTCACTTTGGCTTGGACGATAGGAAGTAAAGAAAATTTAGGAAATGATCATGGTTTCATAAGTAGCAAAAAATACTTTCGAGGAACTATCATATACATTGGCCATATATGCTTTTTCACACTATATCCAGGCTTCATGTTATTCTAATATATGCACGGAAACCGTATAGGAAAAAACGTGTCTTATAACTCTGTCATGACCATGCAAACACTGAAAATGGTAGTTTCAGATTGTGACAGATACTCTAGGAGGTGCCAGTTACCATTTTAGTAAACTAATTACTTCAAGAGTCAATTAGAAAAACGGTGAGATGTCATGTTTTCGTATGAGTGGAATGCATCGACAGGAGAATCGGTTATAACTTGCACGCTATGTGATAAATTTCAGAAATGGAATCTCAACAATGAGAGAGCAATGAAGAGAATTGTTGAGGGTATAACCCCAGATACCCCTACGATGAGGCATGGGCCGCACCATCAGGGGTGGTCCACCATACAAGATCAAAGCACACAGTGCACGGCACTGGTCGGCGTGAACCGCAAGACTTTTGCAAGATATCTTGAAGATAGAGATGGATCTGTTCGGATATGCAAGATATTGTATTCCATGTAATGCTTATCATTTTACTGAGTAGATTTAGATCTTACTGACCTGTAACCCTACCCCCATCTATATAAGGTAGGTAGGAGACCCCCTCAAACTCATCTCATCTTATTCACAACCAATACAATCCACTAGAACATAGGACATAGGGTTTTACGTCATAGTGACGACTTGAACCTGTCTAAACCTCATGTCTATGCGCCTATGTTACCATCCGGTTCCTGATCACGCGCACCACCACCACACAATCTACCATCGTGGGTATACCCGTCGGTGGACTATCGACCATATTTCGTCGACAATTGGCGTGCCAGCTAGGGGAGTGTGCTGATCTCATGGCGAAACCAGATGATGCGATTTCCAAGCTCTACATACTCCCCCAAGCCAGGCATGTCTTTCACGATTGGATCTATGACCTAGGTGATCAACGCCGATGGTGAAGGGGAGATCGTGGAGGCGGTGCAGGAAAATCCTGGCCCGATTATGCCAACACCCACGACAGCAGATCTGATCTTAGAACCTCTTCACGAGATTTTGGGGTCGTCAGCCGAGAAAGTCCATTGATGAAGATGATCGGATAGTTTCCATCGATCGGGTCAGCCAAGGCTTAGCCAATTGCTTGTCTCTTGCGGAATCGGTCTTAGATCAGTCAGCGACGAATCTCCCACTCCAGCACCCCGTGCGGATATGGTTGAGCGCTCCGCTCATTCATGCCATCCAAGGTGGTTAGATGAAGATTTGGTGATCATGACCACTCCTGAAGGGCGCACGGTTCATCGCCGATCACTCCCCGCAATAGATCTGCCTAAGGCCGATCAGGGAGCCCCATCGGAGAGCATTGTGATGGACCATCCCTTTGGACTAATAAATGCGGGAGCCATCTATCAAAGCGCCATATAGCATTGCTTCGTCGACCAAATCGAACGTGGCTACATCAACGATCTCCCCGAATCCGATCTGCTTAAGGTCGATCAGGCTACGCTAGTGGTGAACATTGTGACTATTCGTCCGCTCCAAGAGGATTCCCTACTCACCATCCTAGAGGGAAGTCCGGGGTCAAATTCAGAGGATTCCACCAAGACCACCATCAACTACTCCACCATTCCTAAGCGCTTTGCTGGCGAGCTGTTTATGGTCAACCATGATAGCGTCGCCCCCGATGGAGAGACCAGTGCCCAACATGGTGCTCGTGAGGCCAGGAACACTAACCGCCATGACATCGTTAGGAAGAAGCTACGAACGCCGCCCTTGCCAATGCTGCCAAAGGGGACCCGGACAATAATCCATGCCCTTTTGTTCGCAACCTTTCATCATGAATTCTTCTACGTCGGCAACTAGGAAGTTGAGCAGACACCAAGCACCAACATAGCCATGGCTGCTCATGAGTTGGACAGACTCCAACGGACGCCGGAGATCACCAAGGTCAGAGCGCTGCTTAAAGCAGCCTAGGTTCAAGTCAACCAGCTCCACAATGACCGGTTCTCTCCCACTCTACCGCGTCGGCGCTAAGTCAGCACCGCTCCATGGTTCGACAGCCTTCTCGCTCCCGCCGAGCGAGGGGAAGCCATCACTCCGGCGCTCACCATCAGGGCGACGACTAGCACCTCGTCCTCGGGTCAAGAGGCAACCACCCCGTCAATCCTGGCCCGCATGGAGCCAAAAACTAGCCTCCCCGACCAGTCCGAGCCAATCGTCGCAACACCAATGAGGAAGTTGACTAGCCCGTACATGATGCTCATAACATCCTCAATGCCCATCGTGACATTCGTAACGTCATCGAGAGGCAACACTCCTAAAAGGTCCTAATGGCTAGAGGGGGGTGAATAGCCTATTAAAAAAAATCTATAACAACACTTAAGCCAAGTGGTTAGTCAATTAAATGGCGAAGCAAGTGTTGTGCTAGCCTACTGAAAGGTCCTAATGGCTAGAGGGGGATGAATAGCCTATTAAAAATTTCTACAACAACACTAAGACAAATGATTAGTCAATCAGATGGCGAAGCAAGTGTTGTGCTAGCCTACTGAAAGGTCCTAATGGCTAGAGCGGGGGTAAATAGCCTATTAAAAATTTCTATACTGAAAGGTCCTACTGAAGCGAATTTTACACTAGCATTATACTTGGGGTTGCAAGCCACCTACCCAATTCTATTTTCTATGATCTCTAGTATATCACAACAAAGCTATGTCACTAATATACACCTAGATGATCAACCTAGTGAGAGTAATACAATTAAATGATATACCATCTAGTCTTAACTACCACTAGCTCTATCCAAGTGAATGTATAATGAAATACAAAAGAGTGGTAGAGAGGTATACCGCTGTGGCAAGCGACCAATGAGTGAATACTAAGGAGACAATCAAGACACAATGATTTTTCCTCCGAGGTTCACTTGCTTGCCGGCAAGATAGTCTCAGTTGTGGCGATTCACTTACTTGGAGGTTCACGCGCTAATTGGCATCACACGCCAAACCCTCAATAGGGTGCTGCACAACCAACACAAGATGAGGATCACACAAGCCATGAGCAATTTACTAGAGTATCTTTTGGCTCTCTGTCGGGAAAAGGTCAAGAACCCCTCACAATCACCACGATCGAAGCCGGAGACAATCATCAACATCCGCTCGATGATCCTCGCTGCTCTAAGCCATCTAGGTGGCGGCAACGACCAAGAGTAACAAGCCAAATCCACAGCGAAACACGAATACCAAGTGCCTCTAGATGCAAACACTCAAGCAATGCACTTGGATTCTGTCCCAATCTCACAAAGATAAAGAATCAAAGATGGAGATGAGTGGAAGGGCTTTGGCTTAGCTCACAAGGTTGCTATATCAATGCAAATGGCCAAGAGAGTGAGCTAGAGCTGGCCAAACGATATTTATAGACACCCCCAAATAATAGAGCCGTTGGCTAAATTATTGGGATCGATCAGGACGATCGGACG